TGAACTGCAGATAACAGTCAGCTGTAGTGGCCTTCAGTACTGCACCCTAACCACTGCGCCACCTCGGCTCTGCGGGTCCTCCCCTACACTCCGCTGCTTTTCAGCGGTGGTTCTCTGCAGGGCGTCCCAGGTTTTGAGCAGTCGGTGAAGGGGTGCAGAATTGCCACAGTTTGGGGGCTTTGCCCCACCACTACTGTAAGTTGGGGTCCTTCTCCTCCCCGGTGGAAGGCAGTCTGGATTCGTGAAAAGGGGAGGGGCTGCTCTGACCCTCCTCCCAAGGGGTGTCATCAGTCACATTCTCCAAGGAAGCTATTTCAAAGGTTGTAGAGATCACTCCCCTCCGGCCACTGTGGGTAACCCCAGGAGATGGCCTTGACAGAGATATGTCTGGAACGTGCTTTTGTTTTTGACTGACGTGCTGTCTCGCCGCAGTCGCAAGTTTGTTTTCCCACTCCACTTGCCTATGGCAACTTGAGAGCAGGCCAGGGATGCTTTGCGAGTTGACCACCAGGCCCTAAGACAGAGAGGAAGGTCTCCCACGAAGTTCATTAGAAAGACGTAGGGGCAAGGACTTGACCAAAGTTCTTCAGAAGGTCTTCTGACGGAAGGAACACGGTCTTCTACAGGAAACTTCTCTAGCCACTTCTACAGGAAACTTCTCTAGCCACTCCCACCATACCTGATGTGGGAGGACTCTCACTTCTCATTTCCCTTTTGCTCTTCCCCACATTCAGCTGCGGGACCTGAGGCATGAAAACGTCAACCTGTTTGTGGGCTTCTTCCACGACGCTGGGATCCTTGCTATTGTCTCCGAGCACTGCCCGCGCGGGAGTCTCCAGGACCTTCTCCAGAACGAGGACATGAAGCTGGACTGGATGTTCAAGTCGTCCTTGCTGCTGGACCTAATCAAGGTGCCCGGGAAAGAGATCTAGCCATTTGTTCCAACCCGGCTCCTCAAACGCGTCAAAACCTCTGAAGCGAATTCAAAAGATGTCCTTCATTTGGAGCGCTGGTAACCCTGGCGTTTCTCTCTCACCGCAGGCTAACAAGTCCAGCTGGCCAGGAGATGAATAGTTACCTGCCACATCTATTCATCTCCGCCTACTGCCTTTTATCCCTAGAGCTAGGGTAGGGCTTCGCTAGCAGAGGTGGCTCTTCCGTCCCGAGGACCGGCCCATAGATTTCCACTGTTCTCCTCTCCTCCGCCTTCGTTGCATTCGTGGGTCAGGCACCGAACCCAGCGTTCTTCATCTTCCTCATCAGCCACCTCCAGACCTGGGGGTTGTTGACACTCCATCTGAGGGCTGACGGATGGCCCACGCTCCGCCTCTCTCTCTCTCTCTCTCTCTCCCTCTCTCTCTCTCCTCCCTCCCACCAGCTCCATTCCCTCTTCCCCCTCGGAGCTCTGAGGTCGCCTCGATGGTGGTCCTGACTCCCATGCCTCCTCCTCCTCCTATAATTCATCCGCTGACAGGCCAGAACACTATTTTGAGATCCAGATTAGGAGAAAAAATGAGGGTGGGATGAGAATTCTTCACTGGTGTTGAGAACAATGTTGGTGGCCTTCAAGGTTGGTAGAGACGGCGCAACTTTGGGACCATCAAGGGTGAGCCAGCTAGAGAATTTGTGGCTCTTTCGCTCGGTAGTTACTGGAGGACTTCAAGAAAGCTCTCAGTTCTTGCGTTCAACCACCATCAATCAGGGTCTGTCAACACTTGAAGCTGTCAGAGATACGAATTCAGGGCTATCATCAAGGCTTCAGATGATCAGAGATGGTTCTAAGTGGGAGAATTTGTAGGACGCACTGATTACTAAAAATCAGTTTTAGGGTGACCAGAATGTTTTATTCCCGAGACTCTAATGGTGTAGCTTCCTCATATAATTTCATCGAGCTCCCTGAGGTAGTCCTCGTTTAGCGACTGCCCCGTTCAGCGACTGTTCATAGTTACAATGGTGATGATGAAGTCACTTCACCACCAGTCCCCTATATAGGCGTTCCTCCACTGACAACAGTTCATTTAGTAAACCATTCAAAGTGACGACGGCAGTGAAAAAGGGACTTACGACCGTTTTTCACACTTACGACCATTGCAGCCTCCCCGTGGCCACGTGATCAAAGTTCACACGCTCACGTTTAGGACAGTCACAGTGTCCCGGGGTCACATGATCCCCTTTTACGACCTTCCGACAACCAGATTCACTTAATAGCCGTGTTGCTAACTTAACATTGGCAGCGATTCATTTACCAACCATGGCGAGAAAGGTCGTAAAATGGGGCAAAACTCGCTTAAGGGATGTTCCTCTTAGCGACATAAATTCAGTTGTAGTGTCGGCCTTCGGGGCTGTGAAAAGGAAAGCTAATTGTGCTTTCGCTTCGCTTAAGGACTCAAATGGCCGGCGCTGACTGGGGTCGCTGAACAAGGACTCCCTGCATTGCGACATGCCCAAGACCCACTCAACCTCTTCTTTTTCTCTCTCCCCCCCCCAGGGGATGAAGTATCTGCACCATCAGAAATTCCCCCACGGACGGCTCAAGTCTCGGAATTGCGTGGTGGACGGCCGTTTCGTCCTGAAAATCACGGATCACAGATACAACGAGTTGTTGGAAACTCAGAAGGTGGACCGAGAACCGATGAAGCCTGAGGGTCAGTAGAGGAAAAATGGGAAGGAGGAGGGGATTGGATGGGCGGATCAAATGTCTCTAGGATATATCGACTTACGACAGTTTGTTTACTGACCATCACTCGTTTTTCATACCTGTGGCGGTTTACAGCATCCCCGCAGCCACATGGTCCAAAACTCAGCTTGTTCAACTGCTCTTATGATGGTTTGTGTCCTGTCACCACTACACGTTAGTCCGTCTGCAGCTCGACGTGCAGCTAAAGCCACCTATCTTCCAGTAAAACAGACCGTGTGCGTCGATCTGGATGCTTTATTCAAAGAACAGGATAGGGTGAAAGTGGGGAAAACAGGGATATATACAACAAGAACCAAATACAAGGTAGACAGTATTGAACTACTGCTGAACACCACAAGTCTGGCTTCCCAGCATGCACTTGGTTTGAGAATGCGGGCTGATGGGTAAAATGGGTGGGATCAGCTTCAAAACAATATACCTGGGGCATATTTGTCTCTCCGGGCACTAGATGGGGCTAGAGAGCGACCACAGTATATAAAAGTTATGTGCCAGGGCACGACACTTTGCGATGAGAAAATAGAGTAGATAGAACGACAGAGTTTGGAGGGACCTGGGAGATCATCTAGTCCAACCCCCCAATTTATTCCACCAGACCGTTTGTGGACCGCGCCAGAAATATTGAGGAATCCAGCGCTGGAACGGAAAGGCAGCTTCTTGGGAGACATTTACAGTATTTCCATCATCATTCAAGAAGTCATATGCCGCGATGCGCCTTATTGTATGCTGGACCTGAGCCCCGAAGGTACGTAGGAGGGGAGCGATGAAGAGAAGGGCCGTGGTGGGTCGTCTTCTCCTCGTCAGGCTTCAGGGACTACAAGACAGAAGACCTTGGGCCTGTCCATGTTGGTTTAGAGCAGGGGTGTCAAACAAGATTTCATTGAAGGCCGCATCGGGGTTGTGTTTGAACTCTGGGGGGCCAGGGTGGGGGTGGCCAGCTCAACATCACTCATGTCGACGACGCCTGTGTTGGCTCAAGTGCTCGGCCCAGAGGTGGTATTCAGCTGGTTCGCACCGGTTCGCCCGAATTGGTGGCAGAAATTTTGCCCAGTTCCGAGCCAAGGTGGCGCAGTGGTTAGGGTGCAGTAGTGCAGGCCACTTCAGCTGACTGTTATCTGCAGTTCAGCGGTTCTAATCTCACCGGCTCAAGGTTGACTCAGC